GGACGTCAGACAGTTTAGCGAGAGAAAATAACCAAATTTAATACAAACAAATGCATGAGAACCCTGCATATATCAGAGTCAGACCCCATAGGCACAAGATTCAGAGAGAAAGGGAACACTGGGTATATAAGACATTCTGGGCTAGGAATGAGGTAAGGTGCCCTGGGGGCTTCAAAGTATTATTGCAAGATGATAAAAGCAAATGCTTGGCAAGTAGAAGTTTGTCCTGCCCTATAGATAGGTCAAATGAGGTCATCTCTGATAATGGCTTATTATGGTCAAAGCCCTTAATTCAAGTTCTGCTAGGTAGTTAATTGAGGGACAGTTTTTCTTGAGCCTAAGGCTACAGTTGCCTTTAGCTCAAAACAATCTTCACACCACAGAGACTTATCTTGAGGTACACTTGTTCTGAACCCCACACTGTAAATAAAAAGACCAAAACAGAAAATTCCAATTTAATACAGCCCAAAGCAGTTTCTACCTTACTCCCTGATCAAAGTAGTAGGACAATTGGCCATTGGAAAGAAAAACAAAAATGGATCCGTACATACATCATGCCATTGATTGGGGTAAATTTCAAAAGCATCAAAAGTTTAAATGTAAATAATGGAAACCACACAGTTCCAGAAGGAAACAAGGGAAGCTTCCATTATAAGTCTGGAATGGGAAAAGTCTTTCTAACTATGATCAACATTCAGGAGACATAACAAAAGATGGATACATTCAAATATTTAAAAAGCCTTGTCCTGGCTGGTGTGACTCAGGTGGTTGGAGTGTCGTCCCATACAACGAAAGGTTGTGGGTTCCATTCCCAGTCAGGGTACATACCTAGGTCACAGGTTCAGTCCCAGTCAGGATTCATATGGGAGACACCCGATCGATGTTTCTCTCTCACATCAATGTTGCTCTCTCTCTTCCTCTCTCAAATCAATAAAAACATATCCTCAGGTGAGGATCCAAAATAAGATAAATAAATCAGTCTTCTTCAAGAGAAAAAACATATTACCTCTGTGTAAAGTGTGAAAACAAAAAACAAAGCAGTGAAAAGTGTTTGAAACTCAAATCACAAAGAATTAATCTTGCTGACATATACAGAAGCCAACCTAAGGAAAAAGAATATAATACTCTCAATAATAAAATAAATTTTAAAAAAATAGGCACAGAATATAACCAGACAGATCAAATGACTCTTAAACATATGAAAAGATGTTCATGTGTTTTTCAACCCCTAATAACAGAAATGCAAATTAAAGCAGGACTGAGATACCTTTAAAAAAATTAGCAAGTTGGCAAAAATCAAAGTGTTATGAGCCTGCTTTGTAGGTGAGATTATGAAGGCCAGGCCCTCTTATACATAGCAGGTGGGAGTGCAAGTTAGCACTCTGAAAATCATTTGGCAAGATCTAGCAGATTTACCAATCTCTGCACTCTTGACCAATCAATTTCCCCTAAAGAGTCAGTGATGCCCAACCCCGGCTGGACACTGGAATCACCAGAATGCCGTGGTCCCACTCTTAGAGGTTCTGAAGTAATTGATCTGAGGTGTGGCCTGGGTATTGGGATTTCTAAAGGCCCCCCTAGGTGACAACCACTGCTATAGATACACTGGTGTGTGTGCAAAGTATATTCAGTGTTATTCACTGAACTTTATTTCTAGTAGCAGAAGATTAGGAATAACCTGAATGCCCATCGGTAGGGGGCTGGGTAAATAGCAAATGATACAAGTATGCCAGAGAGAACTATGCAGCTGTAAGAGAGATGATGATGGAGAGTGAGAGAAACTTCTATGTACCGATATGAAATGTTCTGCAAGGTGCATCACGAACAAGGGAAAGCAAGGTACAGAACAGTATATTCAGAACACCTTTTGTTGTTGCTACCTTTTGGATAAAGTGGAGGGAGTTGTAAATAGATATTTATATTTGTTTGCATGTACATAGAAACCTCTGGAGGCACACACAAGAGAAAAATAACAGTTGTACCTGTGGGGGAGCTTAGGTAGGAAGCCAGGCACAGGGAGAGGGGTGGGAGGGAGTTTTTACCACATACTATTTTCTTTTCTTTTCTTTTTTGAACCATATAAATGCCTTATCTATTGAAAATATTAAATAACAAGCAAAAAAAGTGGCCCCATCCTGAATTTGACTCCAAGCCTCAGCATTACTAGAGGAAGACCTTGAATGTNGCAAAAACAGTGGCCCCATCCTGAATTTGACTCCAAGCCTCAGCATTACTAGAGGAAGACCTTGAATGTATTCCACCCCTAATTCCCCTTCTATTCCCCTTCTATTTGTTGTTGCTGTCGCCCTCTGCTGGACTGAAAACGTCAAGGGTTGGCTTTAAAGAGAACCCTGATTTTAAGAACCCTGAAGTCAACTTGCCTAGTTAAGGCAGAAAAATAAGCTGCACATCAGAAATAAATACTATGTATAAATATTTGTTTAGATTACGATCCACACAATGTAAAAGTAGTCTAATTCAATTTGTTTCTCTAGAAAAGAAATGAAATATTTGACACTGTGTGCTATGTACTATATTGAGGATTGGGGGAATGGTATAAATTTATGCATGCATTCATTCATTCATTCATTCATTCATTCATTTCTGGCACTGGGCCTATTATTGTCCAAGGGGCTCACAAACTCACTTGCCTGTAGGGGGCGGACACGTACTGTAAAGGAGCCAAGGATGCAGCCTATAAGAAAACTTTTTCTAACTAGGATGATCCTCTCTGGTCTGCTCCCCCCTGGAGATGAGTCCAGTTTGGGACCCGTGGCATCTGAGCTGCTCAGGGGACACCAGAGTGAAGATGTCCAGCAGACCCGCAGGACAGAGACTGGGTCCGAGATGCATTTCTAGAAGCCATGGTCTACGGGTGGTGATTGAGCCAGGGGTGTTTGATGGCCGAGGGAAATGCTTGGGTAGGAGACGGTCTGTGATGTAGCCCCAAGGATCACCAGCACTTAAAGGAAAAGAAATCTACAAAGTAGACTGAGTTGGACTTTCCAGAAAGGGAGAAGGCAATATCTCAGGAAAGGGGGAATGATCAGCATCACACAAGCTAGGACCACCCCTGTAATATTAGTCAGGGGAGAAGAGGGGGGTCAACAAGTAGGGAGGGGGGGAGAAGTCCATATGTAAATGTTTAAATCTGCTATTGACCCAGGAAATGAGCAATAGATAGAGACCAGTGTGTGTGAGGACCTGAGCTCTTTCCTATTATTGCCTCTTTTGAGCCCCACCCCCTGGCCAGGTGGGCAAGTTATTTAATATATATGGAAGCATGATAATATTATATGTTATCAGTAATTATAATTCATGTCACATACCTTAT